AAAGTTTTGGATGTTTTAAATTTTTTTTTTAAATCAAGTACTCAACATTCACACTTATTTTCCTCTAATTATCACTCATGACATCAAGAAATCATACAGCGTAGAATCTCAAGTAGTAATGTTGCTAATAAAGTGAGAATGAGACATAAGCAAATAACTACAGCTACCAGAATTTAATAAAATTCATGCAAAATCCACACTCCCATTCAGTGCAATGCAGTCTCATATTTACAGCTACCTTATTGCAGAAGGTTTGGGAAGTACCTTAAAGCACACCACTGCAGCATTTAAATAACAGTACTTGCAAATCAGAACACGTAATTAGAGCTTAAAAACAAACATACTTCATGATGCTATCATGGTAAGCTATAATATTAGCTTCTGGATAAAACTGTAACACGCTTTCCTTGGCAACCTAGAAATAAAAACAAAACAAAACAAAAACAAAAACAACACTTATTATTTCTTCCTTCTTTCTAAAGCGACTCAGTACCAGTTGAGTACTGAGTAAATTGACTACCTTAGAGATTTTAACACTTTTAAATGAAACTTGGAGACAGCCACAAGCAGCCAACCACCACTTACCTCTCAGCAGCATCAACAAAACTGTGACAGGTTTCTAACAATGTCCACAAAATAACACCAAACGAGTAAAATGTGAGCTTTGACTTTTTCCTCACCTGCGCTTTTGATCTTCCAACATGTTTCTTCTGAAACAAAAACTGCCTGTTGAGATTGCTGACATCAATAGTATCCAAATCAATCTACAGACACACAAAAAGAGCCATTTCACTTCTGCAGAAATAAAAGGAACAAAGCCATCAAATGTGATGAACTAAATCACAAAAGCTGTACAGACTCCTTCTTGGACCTCCACGCTCGTATTACATTTGCACAACTGTAGAAGCACCACGATCTTCAGGGATAAATGATCTTCATTTAAACATTTATTAATAGTGGAACCACACCTCAAATGTTGAGAGCTATATGACAACAGCCTTTCTTTGGAGAATCCCTACTAAAAATGTACATCAATTTTGAGATGCACAGGCAGAACATTTGGTGGAATGTCAATAACCGACTCTTCTATCTCTTGCCGGATGAAGGCTTTATTGAGCAAGCATTAGGAGCACAGCGGACGCCAGAGGAAATGCCACAGGACTCGGTGGCACCACGCAGGAAAGCCCCTGCCTGCGCTGCCGGGGCAGGAAAGCCCAGCTTCACGTGAATGTGGCTGGCAGGACACGAGGCTGCGCTGTCACCTAACGCATACAGCACAAGGCAGGCTTTTACTGCCTGCCACCAGGCAAGGGCGTATGAAAAAATATAAAATTCACCTAGAAAAGAAAATAAATTGAATCACGTGATCAAGATGTTTAAAAACATACACCACAAAATATTCACGCTGCACAACCTTGAAGTACATCACAACTTTAATTCCCCTCAGAACCATGTTCCTAATTGTTGATGCAGACATAAGAACATCATAATCACAATTTGCCCCACAGGAACTCAGATTTACATCCAACAGCGAGAGGACTGATTCCTACCTGTGCTGTCACCACTCGTCACTTACACTCACGTTAAGTCTGCCCGTGTCCCTGACGTGCTTAAACAGGAACAGGGAGGGTGAGCTGACAGCTCTGCTGATCCCGCAGTACCCCCCCAAACTCCCACTGCTAACGCTGTCGTACTCAGCACAGAACACTTTCAGCTCTATGGAGGTACTGCTCAGTGCTGCTCAATGCTGCTCAGTGCTCAGGTTCCACACACCAGCCAGGAGGTGCTTTCATTTGCTTTTAATTTTATGACCCAAATTTGAATAAGTATAAAAGTACGTCATGCACTTCCTGTGAAGGACTCTCTGCATACAGGATCAAAGATCCAACTTGATGTTATCTGAAGGAAGTATTTATTTAAATATTTAATTGTTTAATTTAAGGATTAAAATTTAACATGCTGAACACTCTACTAGCCAAAGAGTTTTAATTAAATGCTGCATAAAAGCACCAGCTGATACTGAGCACACAGAAAAAGTAAGATGTTTCAGAAAGGTATGAGGAGGTGAGGCTGTCAATCTGTATTACCCATTGTGTCCTCCAACTACTCGTGTTCTTGTAACCCCCATCAAAAGGGATACCTGCGAAAAAACACACTTCCACTTCCCTTCCCATATGACAGCCACAAGGCCCGCTTAGTCCAAAGCCATGAAGGTTGGGAACTTCGAGAGAAACTGAGTGCATTCATCTCTTGATGTTCAACTGTCTAGAAAGCCTTCAGTCCTTTAACTGGAGACTTAACTGACATCAGCTGCAAATGAAAACTGATCTCAAACACTACTGCCAAGACAGAAAAGGTAATGGAAATTTTTCTCCAAAGAGAGTACTTGACACCACTGGACTCCAACCAAAGCTACAATTCAGCTGAGAACGATCCGAATTTGACAGTCCTCAAGCTAAAGCAACTTTACACTGCTCTCACTTTTCAAAGTTAGAAGGAAAGGAACTTCCTAAGAATAAACTTCTGTGTTCTGAATGCAGACTTGTATTTAGACATTTTGTTCTACTTTCAACAAAGTACATTTAGTTAAGCTCTGTGTTTCTGAAGTGCTCCTGTTCAGAACTGCTTTTCTATTTTAATATTAATGCTGTGATAAATAGATAAATAATACACAAACAAGTATTCTCAGATGTTTGAGTTCATTGACCTGTAACAATCAAAGGCAATCCCCAATAATACCACGGACACTGACATACAGTTTTTTTCAACTGACATCAAATTGCCCTTTTGCACAATTCTGTTCCTGCTCTCACCTTGTCTTCTGCCTATCCATTCCATATGCTATCAAAATGTTACTCCATTACATAAGACAGTCATATTTTTAAATGAGAATGGCTCTGATCCAACACATACTTAAGGTAATGGAAACCAATCGAGCAGACTCCAAAGACAATTAAAAAAAATATCTAACTAAAGGAAACAACAAGCAGACTCCAATGGGATCTATGCTTAACGACTAGCTGCAAAACCAGAAATTACTAAACTGTATGTTATTGAACTGTGAGCGCACAGAAGTGGCAGAATAAGGTAGAAAAGAAAAAAGGAGGCATAGAAAACAGCACAGATATCACGTTTCCACTCTTGCGTTTGTTTCACTCATACCGTGTTGAAATTTGGTAGGCTCCCACTGGCAGACTCAAATCAAAAGGACAATTTGGAATTACACTTCGGCACGCCCTACAAATCCATTTTAGTGCAAAGTCTGAGCTGTACAAACGAGAAGCAGCTGGGCTCTGCTGGCGGCTGGCAATGCTGAGAGAAGCCGCTTCTGATAAGCTTCGCTCAACAGGTCTGAACGCAGGGACAAACTCCTCACGTGCCATAGGAACCGCTCAGAAGCGGCTCCCGGCAAAGCACCGATGAGCACAGACAGCAGAACAGCCCTGAACCCGCACTCCCACGGCCTCTTCACGTGAAGTTCTGAACGCAGATCTCTCAACTTCTCTAAGAGCCGAATAAAGGCACGAGGCCGGGCCGTTTCTCTCCGTCCCGCGCCACCCTCAGCCGAGTTCCGCCCTTCCTACGCTCGCAGAGCTTCAGGAAGCAAAAGCGAAACCATCGGCGCGCGGGAAGCTCTCGGGCTTTGCGGCACGGGCGGCTTTACAGCTCAGCGTCTAACAGCATAGCTCTATCAGCGCCCGCTAAGTTCCGCGCCCATAAAGCCGCACGAAGCTAGCCTAGGGGTGGCGGGGCGGCGCACCACCGCTTCCAGCTTGCACCTCCGGCCCCGGGAGAGGCGCGGTCGCTCCTCCGCCGAGCGGTGGCCGGGGAGGGCAGGGCGACCCGAGCTCCGCGGCGAAGAAGGCCCGTCCGGCCGCCACGGCGCTCGCTCCGACGAGGAAGGCGGGCTCGAGGCCGAGGCGGCTCCCCTTTGTGCGGAGCCCGGCCCCCGGCGGCGAACGCCCGGCCCGGCCGCTTTGGCGGGCGCTCAGTAGTTTGAAAACACGCAGACAATGCGGGCGGGGAGGGGCAGCGCCGCACCACAGCGCCGCGCACAGCGCCCCCATGCCCGCCGCCCGGCGCCCCCGGCCCCGCCCGCCCGGCCTGGCCCCGGCCCCCGCCCGCCCCTCGCCGCGGCGGCCCTCCTCGCGCCGCCGACCCCGCACCCGGCCCAGCCCCGGCCCGCACCACGTCGATGTTGCCGAAGCCGGTGAGCACCAGGTCCTTGAGGAGCTCGCAGCCGATGCCTCCGGCCCCCACCACCAAGAGCCGCGCTTGGGCCACGGCCTCCGCCAGCTCGCTGCCCAGGGGGCCGGACGCGGGCGCGGACATGACGGCGGGCAAAAAACAGCGACGGGCGGAAAGAGCGGCGCCGCGCGGCTCTCCTCAGCCGGGCCGCGCTCCGGACAGCGAGCCCGCGCGAGACCAGAGCGGCGGCCGCCCGCCCGTCCCGCAGCGCCCTCTGGCGGCTTGGAGGGCCGCAGCCCGCCGCGGCGAGCGGCACAGGTAGGCGGCGGGGGGCGCCGCAGCTCGGGAGAGCCGGGAGACTCGCGGGTTCGAGCCCCGCGCCCGCCGTTCCCCGGGGCGGAGCGCCAACGGGACCCGGGAGCGACTCGAGGCGGTACCACGGTCTGGAGACGTGGGGCCTCGCTGAAGGTCCGCCCTGTCTGGCCGCGGCCCTCACAAATAAGGCACCCAGCTCCTGGCTGCAGCTGGGAAACGTGTCAGCGTAGTGCCTGGGAATGACGAAGCTTTGACAAGAGTGAAGTGAGGTTTTTACACAGATTGACCTAAATTCTCTGACTCAGCTCTAAAAGCTGGCATGGGAAGCTATAATTTATCTCTGAAAAACTGTTTTGCAACTGTTTTGCAAACAACATTTCATCAGCCCCTGTTCCCCCCCCCCCGCCAAAAAAAAAAACAAAACCAACCAGCCAACCAAAACACTTCCAGTACATCATTTGTACTGTGACATTAAAGCCTGAGCAAAAAGCTTGAAGGATGCTTACTTAAATCATGCCCCCAATAAGACTCCATTAAAACCGCAAGAACAATGCTAGCAGAAACTCTCACCTTTTCTCCACTCATTGCAATGTGATCTCCATCAGAACTCGTCTAGTCAAGCAAACGTAACATCCCTCACTGTAAAAGCATACAGAAAATCTTCATTGCTGGAAGACTGCAAGGTGCTCTCATCCACTGCCCATTGAATTTCCCATCTGTCACCAATACAAATGAAGTAATTTGTTTTAAAATACTTATATTAAGCTACTCACTGCTAGTAGTTTCTAATAACTGGATCCCACTTGATTGACAACCACCAGCAGGATAACTAAGTGCAATTAGGCAGCCTCTTTCCTTTATTTTCTTCCTCAAGCTTTTAAAAACGTAACAATAATCCCAAACTAATCTCCACTTAGAATTACCTCTTTAAACAAAGCAAGTTTTTTGTTGCCACATTTTGCAGCCATGCTAATATACATCAGTTATTCTAGGAAATAAGCACCATGCCAACAAATGAATGTCATTTTTCACCAAATTTGAGGAAAACTCTGTTGCATGATCACATATGCATGATCACATACTTTCAGCTGCAGCAAAAAAAAACAAAACAAAGCAATAAACAACAGACTTTCCATCTATGAAGAGAAATACAATTTATTTAAATAATTTCTGGTCAGGGTCTTCTTGTACAAATACAAACTCTTCCAGAGGGCTTTGATTATTTGTTGGCCAACAGCTCCGCTCACACGTATAAACTATAACAGTCCCAAATTCCACAGACAGATCTAAAAACAAAACAATAAAGGTATGTCATATATTAGAAGAATGCTTCGGTTAGTGGCCATTGCTTATCACTGCAGTTCAATCTTCCAATCCAGAACACATTTATCCATATTCAGCCTCCTATATACATTTTCTTATGTCAAAGATTTTACAGAAGCATGATTGAGAATTTTCAAAGAGTTTCTTAGGTGCCTGCAATCCCTTATGGCAATATTTATTATTTTCTGAGGCGTTTCATAGAACCACTGAATGGCTTGGATTGGAAGGGACCTCAAGGATCATCAAGTTCCAGTGCCCCCTTTCTCCTTGATCCTTTAGCAGGGGAAAGTCACAGCATTACCTACACTGCTGTTATAAAAGTACACCAGGAAGCACATGAAGTCCAATGGAAGAGCTCCCATTTGCTTAGCGAAATCTATAATGGAAACATTATTATATCCATAATCTAGGTGCATATATGCATCTATTTGTAACCTACGTAATTCTATGACCAGTACAGTTAAGCATACCAGTGCCTACGGTTAGCAAGAAACAATCCAAATTACACTTCAGTGAACCTTACCAATATATTTCTAATACTCATTCAGCTAGGTCCAAAGTCAATACCTGCATCACCCCGCAGCATGCTGACCAGTGCTGGCATAAGCTGAAACTCGAATATTCTGTTGCTTCCACAGTTATTGCAGGCTGGAATACTGCTATCAAAATTGGCTGGAGGACAAGTTATGAACAAAGGCTGACCACCCCAAGAGTATCTAAGAGAAAAAAAGAAAAAATTATTTTTTGTATCTCAAGTAACTAGGAAAAAAATCCACCAACATTGTTAGCCAGTCATCTGCCTATGCTTCAGATGAGTCACTCAACAGAAATTAGATAGGAAAGGGGACAGTGAAAGGTCAGCACTTGCAAAGTCTTAAGGAAACAGATGGATCTAAGGGGGTAAATGGTTTAAACTGACACCTCCAAAGCGTGCTAAACTTGACTCAATTACACCAACTACACCTGCAGGGGATTCTTAAAAAAAAAGTTGTCTTAAAACATTACTTGCACATTTATTTGTGTTAGTAAATGTTCTGTATAATATTTGGTAGTTAACTAATGGATGTTTCTAACATCCTGTCTGCATAACCAGCCCCTCAAACTTTGCCTCCTCACCAAAAAGCTGCCAGTTCCTCCTAGTTCTGGAAACCTGGCAGACAAAGGTTCTGCCACTACAGTGTGACAGCTCAAGCAGGTAGGTTGCATCCAACTCTCAGGATTAAAGAAGTTATAACCTAATGCCTTGTACGACTCATGAAAATGTAGTACCAGTATTATCTGGTACTACAAATAAGTCAGGATTTGAACACGTTGATACACTCTCACTCAGAAATAGCTTCTCCTTTTTGGAGCAGTTTTCTCTGAGATTGAACTTACTTTTGTTCTTAGAAGAGCAAGTGTATGGGAACTGCTGAGTCACGGCCTGAACCTCTGATCGATCGCCTGAGGCAAGCACTGAGTCAGCCACAGGAGCACAGGTGAAGGTAATTCAGCTGTGCTGCCAGAAGGGTAGAAGCCCGGCTGCACCCCTCCTAGACCTATTTAAGAGCTGGCTAGCAGTGGGGAAGGATCTCTTCTGGAGATCCACTCTACTGGTGTTTTGGGGGTGAGCCCACAATAGGGGTAAGCCTTCTATTTATTCTCTTCTGTTATTATAGTCTACTTTGCCTAAGGCTCTTTTTTATTTTGTGATTATAACATCCTGATATTCTTTGATTATACAGCAAGCCATTCTGCATGGTCACTGGATGCAGTCACAAGCTGCAAAGGACCTCAGACTTTAAAAAGAGTAATTTCTTACTTCACTAACATCCCAAAGACTGAGCCATAAGCAGTAACAATAAGATTACAAAACTTCAGAGGAGGAGATGGCGTTGGAAGTGTGTCATCAAAACTTAGCAAATTTTTCAATTAAGAAAAATAAGTAAGTATATTCAATTAAATTGTTTATTTCTATTTACTGACAGCCTCCATCTATATGCTGTCTCTGCCTATTACTACCAGCTGATCAACATACCTTAAAATCTGCTCTGGACAGACAGATATTCTTTTCATAAACTTATGGAATGTGTGGTCCCCACTTCTAACTTCACTCTTCTCATACTTCTCATTATTACCTTCACCAGCAAAACTATGAGAGGAAAAGAACAAACCAGAAGTTCAAATTCAGTACAAAAGGCATGCTTTAAGTAATCGTAATTCCAATTAATAGATACTCATGTTATAGTATGTACACACACTAACACCAAACATTAAATTAAGATGTAGTCACTGTTCCAGCTTGCAACTGAACATTCTGCCTCTAGGTCCACTATCTGTTGCCAACAGTGTTTCAAACTATGATAAGATATTCATATCCATCAGACACCTGCTTATGCCTAAGGCTTGGTGTGGTCACTATGTCAAAATCAGAAATACTTTCAGTACCTACACCCAGAAATTGTTTCCTTGACCCTTCTGTTATCAAAAACCCTGAGTCTAACTGGAGTCCTCATCCCAGTCTCCAGTTGAAATCCCTGAGCTCCTCAGCTCTTAAAAATGCAACCAGAATAACTAAATCTGTAGCAGAATAAAGGAAAAAAAAGACAAATGTCCAAATGTCACAATATGAACTCATAAAACATAGCATAAGATTTTGTTCAAACCACACTGGTTTGGTTTCATAGACTGAAGGTACACTGCTGTGTCTGGATCCCAAGGGGATTCCAGCTGCTCAGTCACTCAGAAATAGATGCAGCACTGTATAACGCAAAATTTCCAAACCGGAGAAAACAGGTGCAATGCATTTCCTGCAATGTCCTACATACAACTGCTGCCTGAAGGAGTCAGTTATGAACATATTCAGATCTAGTGAGAGCTACACTTAGTTCAACACTCAGTACAAACTGAACTACACAATCCCTTCAGCTTCAGCATGAGGTTCAAAATGGGTTCTTACCTTTCTGACACCAAATGTTCCAGATCAACACCCTCTCTCTGCTGATACTCTTTCAATAATTTATTTGCATGATCTGTATCAAGGAAACCAGCATAGTCTGCCTCATCCACAACACTAATGTAATAGGAGTGGAACACGGGAGCCGAAGTGGCCGTCGCCATCTCCTCCCTGGGTAGGAGGTCTGTATTTAGGGAACCTGACACATCTGCAGCTTCAGACAAGCAAAGCTCTTGGAGCTGTGACACACACTGTGCTTCTCCAGATGCAGAGCTGCTCATCCCTGCGTTGAGGCCCAACATCTGAAGGACAGATGTGTAAGACTCTGCTCCGTCGCAGCCTCCCCAGTCGTCTGCTTCAGCACACCAGTCCTTTGCAGAAAAGTTACACTCTTCTTTCTGCAAGGAAGGGAGAAGAGAAACATTTTCAAACTGACCACAGTGATGTGGTATGACTGCTATAAAGAGTAAGAGAAAGAAAACCTTAATCTCGTGCTTAGTGTTATGTTGCCCATCGCCTCTCAACACCAGGTACCAGAATATCCACGTTTGCTTCTTACAGCAGCACACTTATGGCAAAAAACCACGACAGATGGGAAACGGTGCAATAATGCAATGGCTGTTTGCTTGATGCGCTGCATCACCATTCCCCTGTTGCAGGCATGACTGCAGGGTGCAGCTTGGAGGTATTTCTCTGAACCAGCTACTGTGCCGCGCTAAGCTCAAAGAGTGGAATACGGAGAAATCACACAAATTTCCCCCATTTTAACTGGAATATAAAGCCATTGCCACGGACCAAACTACCGCAGTGTAAATATCCCAGCTAAATCAGCACTCTGCCTGCCTGGCAGCACTCGCGTGGAAGCAACGCTTCTCCTGCAATCGCTCCACGCCGACGCTCTAGTAAGGCTTCAAAAGCGGAAATTCCTGAAATTCTGACAGCAAATACCCGCTGTAACCGCGACCACCGCCCTGACCACGGAGCCCCGACCCCCGCACACGGATGTGAGGCTGCGGGCGGGTGCGGCCGTGTCGTTCGCGCAGGTACGGGCAGCGCCAGGCACGCGGCGCGTTCGGAGCCCGAGCCCTGCGCCTAACGCCGCTCACCGTCAGCCAGGCCCCAGGGCAGCGCCGGCCGTACCTGACCAGCCGGCTTCGAGCTGCAGCCCCGCGCCTCCCGTCCTCGTGCCTCCAAGCTCTGGGAGCGCAGCACCTTCCAGCTTCGGGCCGACATGTGAGAGAGGACACAGAAAACGCGCTGAGTTACGGCGCTTCCCTGCCGCCCCGCGCGCTCGGCCCCGCACCCTCACCTCTGGGGCCGCCCCCGGCAGCCACTGCCGGCGCAGGCGAAGACGTTGGCGAGGCGGTGGAAGGGAGACTCTCCCAGCGGGCAGTACACCTGCACCAGGTGCGCCAGCGCCGCGCCGCACGCCCCGCAGCGGGGGCAGCCCGGGCGCACGGAGGGCAGCGCGTCCTGAAACACACACAGCGCTCAGCGCCGCGGGAGGCCCGGGCCGCGGAGCCCCGTCGGGGCCAGCGCCCCCCGCCCCGTACCGCGCGGCCGCCCAGCTTGTTGGTGGCCCAGCCCGGGGGCTGCCCGCCGTCCCGGCACGGCTCCGCCATGGCGGCGTCGCGGACTCCCAGCAGCACCGGCGGCCCTGCCGCCGCCATGGCAGCGCCGCTCCACGCCCTACGGCGGCCGCCGGCGGACACGCACCCCGGCCGGAGAGCGCCTCCCGGCTGAGGGGCGCGCGGAGCCGCGCCGGGCGGCAGGGGGCGCGCGCGCCCTCCCGAGGCGGCCGCCGTCTCGCGGCGCGTGCCCGCGGGCAGCGCGGAAGCCGACGTGTTCGGCGCCGAAGCTGCGGCTGCGCTCAGAAAACGGCGCGGCCCTCTGGCTGAGATTTCCGTCGCCTGCGAGCGACCCGCGTACCCGCACCCGCTTAATCTGAGGCGGTCCTGCACGATGTCTCCTTGACAGTCATTAAAACTGTACGTCCTTCGATTTATCTCAGGCTACATGAAGCAACTAGAACTTTGCTAGCTACGTAGATACCTTCACCCGAGCACAAGCAGACTTTGCCAACAGTCATATTTTTAAAGCTATTAAATATCTTGGTTACTTGAAAGCAGGATTTTACAGAAGGCGCCTATCTAGTCATACTGTTGGACATGCCATGTCTCCTCAACACTGCTTCCGTGCTCCGAGAGCCAGCTTACTTATGCTGTGATGTTAAATCTGGAGGGAAAGAAAGAAGACCTCACATAAGTCTCAGTGCAGATGAGATGCAGGCACGGCTGCTGGACTGCAGTGAGGCTCACTGCCCTCGCAGCTGAGATGCTGCAACTATCACTCCTTACAGGGCAAAAGAAAACAGGTTTTTCTAGAATTGGGTAAAGCCTTGATTGAGCAGAACAAAAAGGAAACCCAAGGAAAAGGTACTCCAGGGCCAGACTTGGGCTGATGTAACAAATCCTCTTTATTTTATGTGTCAGCAAAGGCAGCTGACTGGAGCTAGGTAACCTGCAAAAGTGGTTTGTGGTATTGCAATCCGATCTAAAGAAACCTTGTAACCACGATCTGTCTCTCTCCTGAAAGCGCTGCCCTGTTGCACAACTTTTTACATCATCTAGTAGGGACAGGACAAGGGGGAACGGCTTAAAACTACAATAGGGGAGATTTAGGTTAGGTATTAGGAAGAAATTATTTACTCAGAGAGTGGTGAGGAACTGGCACGGGCTGCCCAGAGAAGCTGTGGATGTCTCCCATCTCTGCAGGCATTGAAAGCCTGGCTGGATGGGGCCCTGGGCAACCCTACTGCCAGGGGAGTTGGAACTAGGTGATCTTTAAGGTCCAACATAAGCCATTCAATGATTCTACGACTGAGTGATCTTCATCCACCCCTGTGCCAGGCCAGACAGCTTTGAACAGCTGTTGCTCTGCTGCATCACCAGCTCAGTTTTGTTCTCCTCTTTCTTCTTCTACGTTTTGGGGCAGCAAGATCCAGGTGACCAGCCAGCTCTCACTCAGAAGGTGTGTAACCTTAGCCAGCACTGATGCCAGAAGACCTCATGCAAATCAGCAGCGAAGCCCTCACGATTATGCAAGCAGTTCCTTTAAAAAACAGCACACATATGCTTGGGCCGTGAACTCAGTGGAAGGTTTCTATGTGTAGACCACACATCCTCTGCAGCTTAGCCTCCTAAGCGAAGTACCCTGTTTGGAACTGAGCAACTTGAAAGCAGAGGCCACCTTGCTGCACAGAGCTGCTTGGTCTTTCATGTCACTCACTAGTCAGCTGAGAAATAATAAATTACAGAAATGGAGAAGTGCCTATTTTCTTTGCAGCCCAGTGCCTCCATCACACACAGATTTTATGCCCATGACAGGCAGCCCCATGGCTTGTGCAGGCTCCAGCTACTGCAGACTTCAAAGAGAGGCATCCCAAGCCTGCCAGTCCCATCCTGTCCAGTCTGTGGACATGGGAAGAAAGAATCCGTATGGTTATCAGTTTGCACTTTAATAGAAGTTCTTTGTTCATACTTGTTAGTGGCTTTCACAGCACTCTCTTGGAATCAGCCTAAATTATGTGAAAGAAAATACATCCCAAAAATCATAAGTACAACGTATTCCTAACAATTTACAGAAGAAGAAAACGTGATCTCATGGCACTTTTTTGATAGACGCTCTCCTCCTCTCAAGCTATTTCCTTCCTATTTCACAAAGAGGTGGTAGGAGTATCAGACTCAATCTTCTTGATAAAAAGAGTGGAATGAATATACAGTATATTCTGAAACCTATCATATCTTCTGTATAACTTCTTATTGACTTCAGTGTATTTACTAATATTCCCCTCCTTCTCCCTTTTCAAAGGAACACCATTCAATTTAGATATCCACTGAGAAGATGCTATAGTCTGTCTGAGCCTGAAGGACTCTTTATTTTTTACCTGCTCACTTCATTATTGATTTTTATTTCCAAGAGCATCTTGCACTTCCCTTCATTGTCTCCTTTCACTGGGATCATGACAACAATTTGCATATTAGTGAGTAGAAAGTCAAGATTAAAATCGGCATTCTGACAAATTAATTTTGACTTCAGGTTTTACAAGGAAACTGTATCCTCTGCAGCTCTCACAAATCTGTGTGCTCTCGCCTTCTTTCACTCCTCATCTGTTCTGTGAGCTGTACCCAAAACTCCATTTTGTCTTCTTTCAGTTTCTTTGCTGCCTTTTGTATGAGGTCTATCTCCAGGTATCTTTCATCCAGATCATACTGAGGCCAATGCACCAAGCCTTCCCCATTGGGATTTCTGGAAGCACAAAAATGAAAAGTTACCTCTCCATTTGTGCTCTGACTTCTCAACCTGAGGTCGTTTCAGAAGACTAACAGGAGCTCAGATTGCACGATTCCAGTACCTGAACAGATGGATGTTTTTATCAAAACGCTCATCACTGGAACAGCAAACACGTAATGATGTTTGCCCTTACTCGGGGATCTAATCCTCCACTGCAGATACAAATAGCTCTTGGATTTTGTTTGGGATTGCATGCTCATTTCCAGAGTTCTTCTTGCAATCGTCAACAAGAGAAACTCTTTGTTTCAGTACTCATCTTAAACTCTGCCACATTTACAGGAACTACCATGCTGCTGCTACGCTTCAGGCAGCACAGACAAAACTTGAGCTGCAGTTAGCGCTACGGATCTCACCCGTTTCTAGCAAAGTTAGTCCAGTACTTCATAACAGTTCTGCTAAGTTTACTTTCTCCTTCTGTAGCATTCCCTGCAAAGGGAGAGAAGAAATGGCAATATTCAAAAATCAATAATCAAAAAACAGCAGTCCAGTCAATCCCAATACACTGGAACCAATTCCATGGCAAAGGAGCTATGGATTCTATTATTTCTAAAAAAAATTCTATTCTGAAAGTCCTCAGGCGAGTGAGATTAATAACAATGCTGATTTTAAAAGAATTGTTTAGCAAGCACAGATACATCACCTGCTAAGAATGGCCTTCCAAAGACAAAGGCAATCTCACTTCCATGATCTGCTTTTACAAACTCTGGAACAACGCCTGAGGCTGAGCTTGGTCGATGTTGAAATTCATAGAAGTAGACTGGGTGGCCAGCATCTAACAGAAAATAAAATTGAACGCAAGAATGCTAGTATTGCAAATGCCAGTCAACAATGATGATAAACTTTCACCAAAGCTAAATTGACAAAATCAAAACACTAGCAGATCTTTTGATAGCAAAGTGTGATGCATACATAAAGTCCAAAGACACACTCAAGAATAGAAGACAACATTTGTTTGAATAGATGCTGAACTGGAAACTCACCTCTGTGGTACCTAGCCACTTCAATGGCAGAGAAAACAAACATGTGATCTCCTATTGCATCAAAAAGGGCATCTCGCACCTGAGCACGGCTCTCTGCTTTCCCAATGTATTCATTGAATACAAGATCAACAGTGTGAGAAGAAACACCCTGGAATGAACAAGAAAGGTACTTTTCATAATGAGAACCACCCTAAAAGGAGTAACAGTGTAGACTGAGAGTGCCACCTGCGTGTCCCTGGCTAGACTCCAAACATCACCATCTTTCAGAAAAAATCCCCTGCTGCGTCCAAGCAGAGCTCACAGTTCACAGTGGTGCACCTTTACCTAACATGGATGTTCTTTGGGAGAAGAGATTTGCAAGATCAAAAAGGATGCTCTCAAATGCCTCTAGATAAATAGCTAGTGGTGATGCTAAGAGATGGATGTGGTACTCTGTTCTTCCTTCTGTGGAAACAACCCTCGTAAGAGAAATGAAATCCTGCTGGATTGCATAAGATCCATTTCTTGCTGCAGACGGCCATTACTTACTCCCTTTCAGAAAAACCCTGGGCTCTGCCATTCCCAGATTATGATAGATTCCTATGGCTCTACATGACCCTTTACAAGTACTGGCTATGTTTATCAACTTCTTAATTCTAACCTATTAATCTGCAATTTTTCAAGTTTCCTAGTTTCAGCAGAGCACAAAGCAACCAGAAAGTGAGAGCTTTGTAAATCAAATGGAAGCAAAACTTCCGATGGCTACAAGCAGGTCTCCTGGTGCCAAGCATCCCCAGGAGTCCTTTCTAGTCTCCATGTGAAGCTTCAGAAACATGAATACTGAATTATCCCACTCAAGAAGTAGCACTGGATTATTCTGGAAATGGTCTCTTACCTCAAATGATGACTCTAATGAGTTCTGTAACAATTGATACGCAACTTCTCTGTCCAGACCGTGTGTAAAATCAGGAAATTTCATCATCTTCATAACAAAGAGATTATATATTTAGGGGGCAATCTCATATTCACAAACGTATATCAGAATGAAGCCATTACAATTTTCTTACTTTAGGAAGGCCCCATCCAAATTCACAGTTATTTATTCCTAGTATGTAGGGGATTGCATTGATTGCTTTTTCAGACAGTAATTGCCTGGGACTCTTTGGAAGAAATACACCATCCACACAGGCACTGATGTGCACAGCTGCCTGGAAAAATACAAACAAAAGGCAGAATGGTTTACTTAAATTTTGCTTCTGAGAAACATTTTTACATTTTACATTTATTTTCAAAGCAAAACAAATAAAGTGACAAGTGAAAATATAGGTAATTTTCTTCAATGGATATTTGAACCCGAGAAGATTTGTGCATATTGGCACCGTATCTTAAATATTCACAAAATGTAGGTTACACTTAGTTTACATCTGCTCTTAGCAAGCACAATCCTACTGTGAATGTGTGATGCTGAGAGGGGAGAACCAACTTCTGAGTTGAATCTGCAAAGGAAGAGGGAACCCAGCAGTGTGATATGAAATTTAGACAAGGACATAATTAGGATGTTAAGTAATGTTCAGGCACTCCAGGAGAGACTGTGACTCTCATACTGCTGTCTCCTTCCTTAACAGAACCCGACAGAGAAACACGTGTAGCTCACTGCCCATACAGAGTTAAAGAGAAGGAACCTGTTCACATTTTTCAGGTGGAGTATGGCATAGCTGCAATGTTGTCCTACCTGAAAACGTAAAGAAGGGGCAGGTGTTAGATATTCTTCAAGTTCTCTTAATATTACAGGGCATGTACAGCATGCTCTGTTATGATCAAATTTGAAAGGCCCCTCATATACAAGGCATAATTTCACCTACCATTTTTAGAGTTATCTGTACTAACTCTTCCTCTGTTTTTCCTCTTAAGCATTCAACCAGAGCGGCAGAACTGGACTTTTCACAGCCAGATGCAGCAGCAATTCTCTGCAATCAATATAAACGAGTCACATTCTCATTTACTAATTATCCATATATTCCCATACATGGGCTCTACGTGCCTCTGACTCTGGAGTCCAGAGTAGGAAGAGTGGAGGGGTGGAGGGCTGTCAAAATTTCTCAGGAAGGACCAAAGCCAGTAGCATTTCAGCTGTAAATGCCAAGATAGGAAGCTTTCATAAGCCTTCATGTTGTGGGCTGAACAGAAAGACAAAACCTACCCCTCCAAAATATCTCCATTCGCTAACAGGCTGAATAAAGTTTTGTTCCTGTGAGCTCATCTGGCACCAGGTGGGGGGGAGAGAGATCTGGTGCCCTTTTCCTTTCAAAAACAGCAGCTCAACTTTTTCTGGAGACAGTATACTCCTGTACATTTCATACTCATTCACTGCCTTCTCCCACTACTTCCTCCGTTTTCTGCTTTCACTCAGACATCTGTGGATATTTGGGTATTTGGAAAGCAAAGCTTCATCCAGCGTGTGTTACTGCAAACAGGAATCCTGTCTCTAATGAAGGTGGTTGAATTTCCACAGGAAAAAAAGACCAAGATCCACTTTTTGGAATAAACAATTTAAGATGTTCAAGACTATCTCAAAAATTAAATATGCCACAAAATACCCACCTGTGCTTCCTTCTCAGGCTTTTCAGTGAATAAAGTCCTAATTGTAGTACCACTCTCTGAAATGGCCTTGTGGAACAAGCCCTTTGCCAGTGGAGATAAGACCTGGAAAAAAGAAGCAGCATCCAGAAACAAGAACAGGCATTACTGGAAATGCATTCTATTCATGACACAGGACTTCAATATCAGAAACTGCCTTTTCTGAAAAAAAGGTCATCCGAGTGTTACTCTGTGGCCTCTGATCAGAGTTCTGCTGTGCAAAGGTCTCTGGCAGCATTAACAGGGATAAGTCCACGCCTGCCCTTCCCCTCCCATAAAGCTTTGCTTACAAGACTTCAGGGAACAACACTGCGAGCCAGGTATGAATCAGGTACACATATGTCCAGCAGACTGGCTGTGCTGCAGAAGGGGAAAATACAGCTCTAAGAGAGAAGTCGGGAGCAAACGGACATTCAAATTTGAAGAGGACAAACGACATCTGGGATTCTAAGCGACATCATCTGGGTACAAAAAGAACACTTTCAACAGCCAGAAGCTGCACTGTTATCAGCTGTGTATCAGACTGAGGTGATGTGTGCTTTACCCAAAAGCCACCCACGTTTTCTCACTGATTTTTCATTAATGTACTGAGAGTGATCGTGGACAGTGGGTTTCTTTCTCAAATAATAAACATTCATGCCTGTGGTGAACTTACCAGAGCAGATACACTGATTCCCCCTGCAGATTCACCACAGATGGTGACAGATCCCGGGTCTCCTCCAAAGTGTATGATATTTTCCTGAATCCACTGAAGAGCTGCCACTTGGTCCAAATACCCCCAGTTACCACGAGCATGCCTATCCCCAGTGCTAGAAAGAAAGAACAGACTTCTTTAAACGCCTCATGTAGAAAAAAACAACACTCAGATAAATACAGCGTGCAGGACAAGGAATCAGCTGTGAAGGAGCCTCTCTGCGTAATTTAAAAAGAATTGGCTTGAAAAGGGTTGACATCAGGCCAGCAATCAAGCCACAGCAGTCTCTGAAGCAGACCTGGGACTTGTGAGTTGCTCCCAACTGTTGCATGTGTAATTAAGAAACAGCGAGTTCATTTGCCAAAGCAAGTACTCTACAGGCCTTTCCACAATGGATTTGCACACATCATTTTGGAAAAGGTTTATCAAAATCGAAGACAGCCTATCTTACCTAAAGTATCCAGCTATACCCAATCTGTACTGAATTGCCACAACAACCACGTTGTCAAAGGCTGCTAATGCTGAGCCATCATAGGATGATGCTGCTCCAAGAACTAATGCACCTCCATGGATCCATACAAAGACCTGGAAGGGGAACAAACAGAAACAGTTCAGCACAGGGAAGAGCTCCCTGTGACACAGACTGAATACCCTTGTTTGTGCTGCTTCACTCATGAGTCCTTCAGGTTGCATTTCACAAATGGCCAATGTCTTTCAAATTGGAGGCTGGCAGCCTCACAACACACTCTGATTTCATTAAATACCTGAATTTTACCAGTGCCCTGCAGGAAATCAAACACTGCCGAAGTAAAAAACCAGTAAGATTTTATTTGTCAATCCTTAAAAACTGTGCCAGTAAGTCCACATACTGTACAGGTTGCAAGTTTGCAGTACAGTACTGTCATCCTCAGGAAGCTGTTAGAAGATTCAAGGTCAGGCTCAATCTGTCACATCAAATCACAGAAGCCATCGAGCCTGCTAGAGGTTTTGCACTGATTTTCCTTACCGGCAGCTTCTCCTGTGTTTTTGTAGAAACAGGTGTGTATATATTCAGGTATAAGCAATCTTCAGACATCCGGAGATGAACTTTTTCTTTTCTATTTGTAACAACATCCGAAACAAACTGTCCTGTTACTTTGTCCTGTAGACACCTGAAAAATTAAGAGAAGGAAAAATAAATGGAAATAACAAAAACTTCAGAGCTATAATGTGCAGCTTTTTTGCAAAGTAGAAATCTCTGGTACGTTTCTCAATTGCTGGCAGCAGAAAACATACAGTAAAGTTTTAATTCTGAGTATGTTTTCATCCACTTGAGTTGCCATGACAAGGCCTGTAAAAAGGGGCCACAGTCCAGAGCGGTACAATTTGACACCAATCGCAGTTTTGCATGTTTCAGAACATTACAGAAGTACAGTTGCAGATGGATACAGCTATAAATCACTTCAAATGAAATGCATAAAAATTATTACGTAACTTCAGTAGCTTTTTGTACTGCAGTTATTAGGGTAGAGTTAGCAAAGGGGGGCAGCAGCACAACTGGAGTTTCTTACATGTCCTTTCAACCACGTGACTCATCAGCATTTTATTCCAACGTTTCCTCAGCTTCTTTCTGTTTCTGCTTCTAAGCCACGCAGCTTAACGCATAACCAAGTGCTCGCAAAAGAGCACAGGTCTGTCATCAGGTCCATACTAGCTCAGTTATGATGCCTATTAGAGAGCACTCAATAAAACAGTAGCTTATGAAGATTTCTTCAGAAACGCATTCACTGTAGCAGATGTGAGAGTAGGTGAGACGACACCAAGGAGTTTATCCGTGTGGCTTTTGGTCAGCCTGCCTATCAGCGTCCCCAAACTGCAGGTAACATAAAGTCACGGAGAACATAAAAGCTTTTCTTCCTGCTTTACTTACATTGGTGGGTAGGAAGTGGCATCTCTGACACCTTCCCATGGCTGAGGAGGCTGGGGCTCAGAAAACCTCAGTGGTCCAACAGGAGGCTTAGCAAAAGGAAGTCCCAGAAAGACATTTACGCTCCTCTCAGCCGCATCAACTCTGATTTGGTATCCTCGGGCAGTGCCGTATTTGGTCACCACTTCTGGCTGCTCTGCTTTTTGCCCTGGGGGGTGCGTGCACAACATCACATCACCGATTGGTCTCCTAGTGAGCAACTGACAGCTTTCTAAGAGCTTTGCCTACCTGAATGCGCACCTGCTCTTGGTTTCAATAACTCCTTTTCAAACACAAGCCTTCAACAAACGCTAATCGCTAGAGCTGACTTAAGTGCAGCCTCCATTCTGATAGTGCTCCCAGCTATGATCTCCCTCAGCTACACCGTGCCTGCAGCATATAACGTGCTTACTCTCCACACGCATCACTAACCGGGTGAGGATTGTTGTTACTTAAAAGTCCACCGGATTGCCCTCATAAAGAAAAGGCATTTCCTGATTTAGGAAAGGATCTGTGAGTGCACAAAACGCACTTGGGAATCTCAATAGACCCTACAGACAAACAGAAAACACCTTCTACCATACCTGAAAACAGTCAGGCACGCATGCACAAATGGCACAAACATTCAGGTAAGATTTACTTTAATCTCAGAGTGAAATTTATCAGAGTCAAACAACAAACATGGCATATTGGAGTCTCTGACTCAGCAGACAAAATATTGCAATAGGAATTGAGTTTTGCTAGCTGCACGTGAAAAAAATACGAGACAAATGCCTGAAAGCAGACCAGAGAAAGAAACAAAGAGCTCTTTGCTGTTCAGACCTCAGCTCTGTGCTACAGGGTTGGGACTTCAGGCCTCCTTTGAGCTGGGACTCCCACGGGTAAGCAAACTGCACACGCACTCTAACTCCTCGCAGCAGGCAACAGTGAAAAACATTTTGGAAGCTTACCAGCAGCTACGAGTGCTGTGAGCCCAGCGGTGAGGATCAAGGACAGCAGCATGTTCTTCTCAGTTGCCACTCTGCAGCCTACTCACACCCTGATCGACTCTGTGCGCTGCATTTATGCTCTGCCAGTAAAGCTGTTGCGCAATGCAAACAGGGATAAGGAAAGCAGTGCTCAAGCTGTGAACCGAATCGGCCGGGACCAGCCTTGAACAACTGTCATGACAGCATGGCACTGCTCCAAGGGGAGCGTAATGCAGCTTATCTGTACATGGGAATAGGGGAACCTTGGGCTGTGCAGAACGGCCCCACAAGTCTCACACCAGCTGCCCAGGGCTCCTTATAACTGCTCTTCACAGCACTTCACGCAGCAGGGATTTGCTTAAAGAAGCACTGGAAGCAGTCCTCAGAACACCAGCAGATTCTTCCTGCTGCAGAACCGTTACCATTGCCGTCTTTAACAATTAAGTCAGCACTTACTTTCACTACACAGAGAACAAACCCGGAAAACTCTCCTACTCATGCACACTTCTTGACCAAAGCAGTACAGGAAAGATCCTAGCTTTTCCTGCAGGGTCAACGCTCCACCCGCCACTCAGTCCTGTGCATTCAGAAATGTTTGGCTGGTATCTCACCATACACGAGTTTTGCAACAGCTAAGACAGGTTTTCTCCACAACTGCAGTACAGGAGCCGTATGCAACAATTTGAGTGGTAGGAACGCTTTTAATCCCACTGAAACATCAGGAGGCTTTACTTCCATGTGAACTCGCATCCATCAGTAAGAAATGCTGAATAGAAGTAGATTGCCATTCTGTAACTAGGTGGCTGTGTTTGATTTTTGTTTCCTGGCTCTGACTCTTTTCCTGGCTCTTTTTTATTCTTTTTATCTTTTTTTGGCCAGTGTCAATAGATCTTTCCCTTGTAAGCCTGTTTTGTAATCACACGTCATGAAAATAATTCTCAGTTGTCAGAGACAGCATTTCTGTAGATTATTTCAGTGACTCACTTTTTTTCAGCTCTGTGTGCCCCAAATCCAGTATTAGAGTAGTTCTACACAATGTCTTAAGCACACAGTAGTCCCGTGTGCTAAAGCTCTGTTCATGTATTCAGAAAAGATGCTTTACTCCACACCCAACGCATGTGGGCAAACGTGGGAAACTAAACTGGAACGCTCAGGGAGTGACTGGGCACAGTTCCCCCCTTCATTCACTATTCTGCCTTTCAAGCTTTACTCTTCCACCTTTCTCTGCTGCACTCTCTTTTTTCTGCTCATGTACACATTCTGCAAAATGTCTGAACCCCTACCCCATTTTCATCCCATCCACAAAGAAGATGATATCCAACTTGAAGGCCAAAGGTAGCTGCCATGCTGAAATTACTCCTTGTGCAAACGCTATCTGTACACTCTGCTGATCTCACTCACGTAATAAAATAAACAGACTGGACCTGGATCTTTACCACCTTGGCTACCAAGCCTACCAGGCCAAAGGATCTAGCAACTGGACTTAGACTTCTGCAAATGTGGAGACCCTTACTCTAATGGCATAAACTAAACTAGTGCAATCTGGAAACAGTGCTACATACCTGGGAAGTGGAATTCTTGGATGCTGCCTGGCATTTCATTTTAATGGAGAGCATTTTGCAGTTTACGTTCAATCAGTGAACAATGCACAAGTCAGAAAACAGGTCAGAAAAATCCTGCCACGTGATGACATTTGCCTCCCACACCCTAATGCACTGCTACCTGTCTTGATTTCAATCGCTGAAAAATAGAGACAAATCTCATGTTTATGGGCACGTGGCTAAAAGAGAGCCCACAAGGACATCTGCATTCAACGCTATAGGGTAGAAATGTTCAGAAATATGCATTTAAAGCGGGGTCACTTCCTCATTTAGGTGTTTTTTTGTTTGTTTGTTGGTTTTTTTAAACTCAGCCTCCGGGAAAGAGTAAACGCAGCGAAAACAGTTTGTTTCTATGTAAGAAGTGAGTTCCTCTGCACTTCTCTGCATGCACACAACACGAGCATATATTCTGTGCATCTACATACAATGCTGCTGGTGTTCTCCTTTTAAAAGGAGGAGTACAGCTCCTACAGGGAAGAGTGTGTGAAAGGAAAATCCATCAAGATCATTTCCCCCTCATAAAATACTTTAACAAAGGACAAGGGACTGCGATCCAGGCTTGTTCTTGGCAGTCCAAGCTGAAATGGGCGCTGGAGTAATTCCGGTAAATGTAGTCTCTCTCCAGTGCCAGTAATGAAGGCCTGTGACCCAGTGCTGAGAGACACTGGAACTGAGAGATGGCACAGAGCGCAGCCTAGAGCGCCGTGTAAATAAAGCACCATGGAAAACACAGAAAGCACAAAGCTAATGCTACCACGCCTGATCCTTCTGAGGCAGTTGTTGCTCATTAAAAAGAAAGAAGCTCAGGGCAGCGGAGACTGTTTCTCTCCTTTCCTAAGATCTGCGAGCAATCTGAATTCCAGCACTGCACCACTGCTCCAGACGAGGGACTGCAACCGTCAGAAATGTACTGCTATCTCAGTTGTAAAACTCAGTCACACAACAGAACTGTCCTTAAAAAGTTCAGAGGACATTTCTGTGTGTGAATCAGAACAAAACCTCAGGGGCATCACACGTATCTCTGACACGAGAAAGACAGTTTTACTTGCAAAGCACCTCTTTATTGATTGAACTCGATTAACACAACATTGCTGCCAGATTCTTCTTCAGCAATGGCAAAGCTGCAGAAAAGCCTGAGGAGCAGACAGATCTGTTAACTGTATTAAATGGGGAGGCTTCTCTTGTGGAACCAGAGGGAACCGAGGGAAAAGCAAAGGGTCACAAAGTGGAAATCGATCCACTGCCATAACAAAAATTAAGTGAATAAGCGTAAATATGAGAACTGCAAAGAAAAGGTGAAAGGAAGGGACACGTTATTTTGTCCTCAAAAATATTTCAAATAATTCCTCTTGCAATCCTAAATACTATGCCTATTATGCATGTTTAGACAGTAAATTATAGCTCTAGATGAGCTTTCTTGTTTCCCATTCTTTTCCTAGTTGGCTTTTCAAACATCACCTTTTCCCAGAAGTCTACCTTCTTCTCCTTCAGCTTTCTGGCTTTCCTTTGTCTTAGATTTATCTCCAAGCATTCTTCATTTAGATTACGCAATGGCCATTCAGCCAGGCCTTCCCCATTAGGATTCCTGTAAACAAGAAGAAAGAAAGAGAAAAAGCCTGAAATTTGCAATTTAGCAATCCAGAAATCATCAAGAGAAGATTTCAGGACCGCTGACGAACAAGATCAGCATAATTATTCTACAGGCAGTGGAACTGAGGTCCGAGGAAGTGAAAGGATTTGCCTGCATCCTTCCAGGAAACCAGAAGCACAACCAATAAATCAATAAACAAACCCTTGTCTCCTGAGTGCCACTACAACTGAGGAAATGAGCCACGTTGTTTAGTTCCATAGAGCTCATCCCAGCTTTGTGGGACTGAAATTCTCTGCTCTGAGCATGACAAGGCAAAGCTTTCTTCATTCTGATACAAGAGGATGGAATTCCATGCTTCAAAGTTTCGAGAATACTCCCTTAGAATCAGTTACATGTATGACCAGATGTAAATACACCTCACCATATCACAAGGAATATCTGCTATTACATTGCTTTCCCTGTAAATTTGAGAAAAAAGCAAGAGAAGTGTACAGCCTTCCCTAGTTGACCTCTAAGAACAGGATATTATAAGTAATATTATAATAAGGATATTAAAAAGTAGATGCAAAATGTAAGCTAAATCAAAAGACTCTGGTAACAGATTAATTCATGCTTTTTACAACACAGCTAGACTGCTCAAAGTTCACGGCAGTAAAAGGAAATAATTCAGCTTGCACAGACTTTGAAACAGACTATGAACTACTGTGAAAATGACAGCAATAAAAGAAGAGAAAGTGTAGAGAAAACTTGAGATATCTCAAGGATGGAATTCATGCTTCAACCTTGCAAGAATGTTCCCTTCGATGCAGTTACACGTACGTTACACCTGCATGATGCATTAGTTGCACAGCAGCACAGTCAAACATCCCACTTGTTTGATGCCTTTGTTCCCCTCTATTTTTGATGTTTTAATGAAAAACACATAGCAGTGTAAGGTTTTTTTTACTTATATGCATTACGTTCATTATATACTTTATATGCAGCCCATGGCAATTCCAACTGGCTCAGTGTGGCTCAGGCTAGCCAAAAGATGGGACAACCATGCTTTAACCCAGTTTTTAAATCTTCATGCTGAAAATGAAACAGTGGAGTTCCAGCCTTACCCTAATGAACACAAGCTGGAACGCTCAGCAAAACAGACTGCAACCCGTTCTCTGCAGCCTGAAAGCCAGTCAGATTTCTCAGAAAAGAGGACGCATTGCTTGAAATACCTCAAGCAAAGGGGAGGGGGAAGATTTCCTGCTTCTTTAGTACCCCACTCATCTCCCCACTCACTAGAGCTTTAATCAATCAATTCAATCAATCATATAGAACTTCCTGTGCTTCAGAAACAGCAAACCGCATGTGATAAAGAAGGGAGAATACAGTAAAGTAATACCGAACAAATCCAAGCAAGAGTAAGGGTTATATTTTCATCTCACCCCTAATGTGTGCACTGTAATTTGATGAAAATGGAAGGAGCAACACTGAATAATGCCAGTGCTGTGAGAGTATTTTATAAATGAATCCTGAGATATAATTTCTTACCCTGTAGGCCTACGATAGCACATACACTAACAAGAAAAGCCAAACAAGTTAAATTTAGAGGCAGCCACTGCTCCAGCTTGCAGCTGAACATTCTGCCTGTAGCTCCAGTATTTGTAACAGTTTACAGAACAGGAAAACACTTGTGATCCCACGGCTGGTTTGTGACGGATGCTCTTACCCTCACAGGAGGGCTGGAAGAATGACAACCAAGGACACTCTCAGTAAGGAAGAGCAGAAGGAACTGACAACATTCTGTGACACCTATGACATATTCAGTAAACATAACTTCTTATACATTTCAATATATTTGACAATCTTCCCTTGGATACCACAGAATCACAGAATGGCCTGGGTTGAAAGGGACCACAATGATCATCTAGTTTCAACCCCCCTGCTATGTGCAGGGTCACCTGGACCAGGCTTCCCAGAGCCCAATCCAGCCTGGCCTTGAATGCCTCCAGGGATGGGGCATCCACAACCTCCTTGGGCAACCTGTTCCTGTGTGCCACCACCCTCTCTGGCCTGTTTGAACCTGAGAGACTTTTTTTCCCCCGCTTGCTTCATCACTGATTTTTATTTCCATGAGCATCTTGCACTTCCCCTGATGCTCCCTTTTCACTGAGGGAGAGAATCAAGGGAAGTTTTCCTGCGATCATGACAACAAACTACACATCAGTGAGTTAGAAAGTCAAGGTTAAAATCTGCATTCTGACAAATTGCTGTTGACCTTACTTCAGACTGTGAAAGGAAACTGTATCCTCTGCAGCTCTCACAAATCTGTGTGCTCTCGCCTTCTTTCACTCCTCATCTGTTCTGTGAGCTGTACCCAAAACTCCATTTTGTCTTCTTTCAGTTTCTTTGCTGCCTTTTGTATGAGGTCTATCTCCAGGTATCTTTCATCCAGATCATACTGAGGCCAATGCACCAAGCCTTCCCCATTGGGATTTCTGGAAGCACAAAAATGAAAAGTTACCTCTCCATTTGTGCTCTGACTTCTCAACCTGAGGTCGTTTCAGAAGACTAACAGGAGCTCAGATTGCACGATTCCAGTACCTGAACAGATGGATGTTTTTATCAAAACGCTCATCACTGGAACAGCAAACACGTAATGATGTTTGCCCTTACTCGGGGATCTAATCCTCCACTGCAGATACAAATAGCTCTTGGATTTTGTTTGGGATTGCATGCTCATTTCCAGAGTTCTTCTTGCAATCGTCAACAAGAGAAACTCTTTGTTTCAGTACTCATCTTAAACTCTGCCACATTTACAGGAACTACCATGCTGCTGCTACGCTTCAGGCAGCACAGACAAAACTTGAGCTGCAGTTAGCGCTACGGATCTCACCCGTTTCTAGCAAAGTTAGTCCAGTACTTCATAACAGTTCTGCTAAGTTTACTTTCTCCTTCTGTAGCATTCCCTGCAAAGGGAGAGAAGAAATGGCAATATTCAAAAATCAATAATCAAAAAACAGCAGTCCAGTCAATCCCAATACACTGGAACCAATTCAAAGGGGCTGTGGACAACATCATCTCTATGGGACCCTTCCAATCCAAAGCATTCTATGAACCTACTTGTTACTCTGGGCTGTGGGAGTTCTATGTGAGCAGAGCAGATGAATTAATTAATGACAAGTAACTATTACCAAAAACAGAAAAAAAACCAGCTTATTTTGATTCCAGTGTTACTAAGTAAAATTCTATTCTGAAAGTCCTCAGGCGAGTGAGATTAATAACAATGTTGATTTTAAAAGAATTGTTTAGCAAGCACAGATACATCACCTGCTAAGAATGGCCTTCCAAAGACAAAGGCAATCTCATCTGCATGATCTGCTTTTACAAACTCTGGAACAACGCCTGAGGCTGAGCTTGGTCGATGTTGAAATTCATAGAAGTAGACTGGGTGGCCAGCATCTAACAGAAAATAAAATTGAACGCAAGAATGCTAGTATTGCAAATGCCAGTCAACAATGATGATAAACTTTCACCAAAGCTAAATTGACAAAATCAAAACACTAGCAGATCTTTTGATAGCAAAGTGTGATGCATACATAAAGTCCAAAGACACACTCAAGAATAGAAGACAACATTTGTTTGAATAGATGCTGAACTGGAAACTCACCTCTGTGGTACCTAGCCACTTCAATGGCTGGGAAAGTAAACATGTGATCTCCTATTGCATCAAGAAGGCCATCTCGCACCTGAGCACGGCTCTCTGCTTTCCCAATGTATTCATTGAATACAAGATCAACAGTGTGAGAAGAAACACCCTGGAATGAACAAGAAAGGTACTTTTCATAATGAGAACCACCCTAAAAGGAGTAACAGTGTAGACTGAGAGTGCCACCTGCGTGTCCCTGGCTAGACTCCAAACATCACCATCTTTCAGAAAAAATCCCCTGCTGCGTCCAAGCAGAGCTCACAGTTCACAGTGGTGCACCTTTACCTAACATGGATGTTCTTTGGGAGAAGAGATTTGCAAGATCAAAAAGGATGCTCTCAAATGCCTCTAGATAAATAGCTAGTGGTACTCTGTTCTTCCTTCTGTGGAAACAACCCTCGTAAGAGAAATGAAATCCTGCTGGATTGCATAAGATCCATTTCTTGCTGCAGACGGCCATTACTTACTCCCTTTCAGAAAAACCCTGGGCTCTGCCATTCCCAGATTATGATAGATTCCTATGGCTCTACATGACCCTTTACAAGTACTGGCTATGTTTATCAACTTCTTAATTCTAACCTATTAATCTGCAATTTTTCAAGTTTCCTAGTTTCAGCAGAGCACAAAGCAAACAGAAAGTGAGAGCTTTGTAAATCAAATGGAAGCAAAACTTCCGATGGCTACAAGCAGGTCTCCTGGTGCCAAGCATCCCCAGGAGTCCTTTCTAGTCTCCATGTGAAGCTTCAGAAACATGAATACTGAATTATCTCACTCAAGAAGTAGCACTGGATTATTCTGGAAATGGTCTCTTACCTCAAATGATGACTCTAATGAGTTCTGTAACAATTGATACGCAACTTCTCTGTCCAGACCGTGTGTAAAATCAGGAAATTTCATCATCTTCATAACAAAGAGATTATATATTTAGGGGGCAATCTCATATTCACAAACGTATATCAGAATGAAGCCATTACAAGTTTCTTACTTTAGGAAGGACCCATCCAAATTCACAGTTATTTATTCCTAGTATGTAGGGGATTGCATTGATTGCTTTTTCAGACAGTAATTGCCTGGGACTCTTTGGAAGAAATACACCATCCACACAGGCACTGATGTGCACAGCTGCCTGGAAAAATACAAACAAAAGGCAGAATGGTTTACTTAAATTTTGCTTCTGAGAAACATTTTTACATTTTACAGTATTTTCAAAGCAAAACAAATAAAGTAACAAGTGAAAATATAGGTAATTTTCCTCAATGGATATTTGAACCCGAGAAGATTTGTGCATATTGGCACCATATCTTAAATATTCACAAAATGTAGGTTACACTTAGTTTACATCTGCTCTTAGCAAGCACAATCCTACTGTGAATGTGTGATGCTGAGAGGGGAGAACCAACTTCTGAGTTGAATCTGCAAAGGAAGAGAGAACCCAGCACTGTGATACGAAATTTAGACAAGGACATAGTTACGATGTTAAGTAATGTTCAGGCTCTCCAGGAGAGACTGTGACTCTCATACTGTTGTCTCCTTCCTTAACAGAACCCGACAGAGAAACACGTGTAGCTCACTGCCCATACAGAGTTAAAGAGAAGGAACCTGTTCACAATTCTCAGGTGAGGTATGGCATAGCTGCAATGTTGTCATATCCTGAAAACGTAAAGAAGGGGCAGGTGTTAGATATTCTTCAAGTTCTCTTAATATTACAGGGCATGTACAGCATGCTCTGTTATGATCAAATTTGAAAGGCCCCTCATATACAAGGCATAATTTCACCTACCATTTTTAGAGTTATCTGTACTATCTCTTCCTCTGTTTTTCCTCTTAAGCATTCAACCAGAGCGGCAGAACTGGACTTTTCACAGCCAGATGCAGCAGCAATTCTCTGCAATCAATATAAACGAGTCACATTCTCATTTACTAATTATCCATATATTCCCATACATGGGCTCTACGTGCCTCTGACTCTGGAGTCCAGAGTAGGAAGAGTGGAGGGGTGGAGGGCTGTCAAAATTTCTCAGGAAGGACCAAAGCCAGTAGCATTTCAGCTGTAAATGCCAAGATAGGAAGCTTTCATAAGCCTTCATGTTGTGGGCTGAACAGAAAGACAAAACCTACCCCTCCAAAATATCTCCATTCGCTAACAGACCAAGGTAGTTTGTTCTGGTATGTAACAAACAGGGCTAAGAAGTCTGGATGGCATAAGGTAGTTAGAGTAATGCATACATAGAATATGATCATGCAGATGATAGATAAAGAGCACGTTACATCCTTCTCAATGATGCACAGTCTTTTTGAATGCAGTAATGCTATTTCTCAGCTGTCACTAGACAGATAGACCTCAGTGCAACACTGCCTCTTCTACATCCCAGATTAGCAAAACAAAGCTCTTGGAGATTGTTCCTTGGAGATTTGTCATGTGTACATGACAAATTGGGTTGAATAGGGCTCTTCTTTTTATTTATAACCAGGCTGAACAAAGTTTTGTACCTGTGAGCACATCTGGCACCAGGTGGGGGGGAGAGAGATCTGGTGCCCTTTTCCTTTCAAAAACAGCAGCTCAACTTTTTCTGGAGACAGTATACTCCTGTACATTTCATACTCATTCACTGCCTTCTCCGTCTACTTCCTCCGTTTTCTGCTTTCACTCAGACATCTGTGAATATTTGAGTACTTGGAAAGCAAAATTTCACCGAGCGTGTGTTACTGCAAACAGGAATCCTGTCTCTAATGAAGGTGGTTGAATTTCCACAGGAAAAAAAGACCAAGATCCACTATTTGGAATAAACAATTTAAGGTGTTCAAGACTATCTCAAAAATTAAATATGCCACAAAATACCCACCTGTGCTTCCTTCTCAGGCTTTTCAGTGAATAAAGTCCTAATTGTAGTACCACTCTCTGAAATGGCCTTGTGGAACAAGCCCTTTGCCAGTGGAGATAAGACCTGGAAAAAAGAAGCAGCATCCAGAAACAAGAACAGGCATTACTGGAAATGCATTCTATTCATGACACAGGACTTCAATATCAGAAACTGCCTTTTCTGAAAAAAATGTCATCCGAGTGTTACTCTGTGGCCTCTGATCAGAGTTCTGCTGTGCAAAGGTCTCTGGCAGCATTAACAGGGATAAGTCCACGCCTGCCCTTCCCCTCCCATAAAGCTTTGCTTACAAGACTTCAGGGAACAACACTGCGAGCCAGGTATGAATCAGGTACACATATGTCCAGCAGACTGGCTGTGCTGCAGAAGGGGAAAATACAGCTCTAAGAGAGAAGTCGGGAGCAAACGGACATTCAAATTTGAAGAGGACAAACGACATCTGGGATTCTAAGCGACATCATCTGGGTACAAAAAGAACACTTTCAACAGCCAGAAGCTGCACTGTTATCAGCTGTGTATCAGACTGAGGTGATGTGTGCTTTACCCAAAAGCCACCCACGTTTTCCCACTGATTTTTCATTAATGTACTGAGAGTGATCGTGGACAGTGGGTTTCTTTCTCAAATAATAAACATTCATGCCTGTGGTGAACTTACCAGAGCAGATACACTGATTCCCCCTGCAGATTCACCACAGATGGTGACAGATCCCGGGTCTCCTCCAAAGTGTATGATATTTTCCTGAATCCACTGAAGAGCTGCCACTTGGTCCAAATACCCCCAGTTACCACGAGCATGCCTATCCCCAGTGCTAGAAAGAAAGAACAGACTTCTTTAAACGCCTCATGTAGAAAAAAACAACACTCAGATAAATACAGCGTGCAGGACAAGGAATCAGCTGTGAAGGAGCCTCTCTGCGTAATTTAAAAAGAATTGGCTTGAAAAGGGTTGACATCAGGCCAGCAATCAAGCCACAGCAGTCTCTGAAGCAGACCTGGGACTTGTAAGTTGCTCCCAACTGTTGCATGTGTAATTAAGAAACAGAGAGTTCATTTGCCAAAGCAAGTACTCTACAGGCCTTTCCACAGTGGATTTGCACACATCATTTTGGAAAAGGTTTATCAAAATCGAAGACAGCCTATCTTACCTAAAGTATCCAGCTATACCCAATCTGTACTGAATTGCCACAACAACCACGTTGTCAAAGGCTGCTAATGCTGAGCCATCATAGGATGATGCTGCTCCAAGAACTAATGCACCTCCATGGATCCATACAAAGACCTGGAAGGGGAACAAACAGAAACAGTTCAGCACAGGGAAGAGCTCCCTGTGACACAGACTGAATACCCTTGTTTGTGCTGCTTCACTCATGAGTCCTTCAGGTTGCATTTCACAAATGGCCAATGTCTTTCAAATTGGAGGCTGGCAGCCTCACAATACACACTGATTTCATTAAATACCTGAATTTTACCAGTGCCCTGCAGGAAATCAAACACTGCCGAAGTAAAAAACCAGTAAGATTTTATTTGTCAATCCTTAAAAACTGTGCCAGTAAGTCCACATACTGTACAGGTTGCAAGTTTGCAGTACAGTACTGTCATCCTCAGGAAGCTGTTAGAAGATTCAAGGTCAGGCTCAATCTGTCACATCAAATCACAGAAGCCATCGAGCCTGCTAGAGGTTTTGCACTGATTTTCCTTACCGGCAGCTTCTCCTGTGTTTTTGTAGAAACAGGTGTGTATATATTCAGGTATAAGCAATCTTCAGACATCCGGAGATGAACTTTTTCTTTTCTATTAGTAACAACATCCGAAACAAACTGTCCTGTTACTTTGTCCTGTAGACACCTGAAAAATTAAGAGAAGGAAAAATAAATGGAAATAACAAAAACTTCAGAGCTATAATGTGCAGCTTTTTTGCAAAGTAGAAATCTCTGGTACGTTTCTCAATTGCTGGCAGCAGAAAACATACAGTAAAGTTTTAATTCTGAGTATGTTTTCATCCACTTGAGTTGCCATGACAAGGCCTGTAAAAAGGGGCCACAGTCCAGAGCGGTACAATTTGACACCAATCGCAGTTTTGCATGTTTCAGAACATTACAGAAGTACAGTTGCAGATGGATACAGCTATAAATCACTTCAAATGAAATGCATAAAAATTATTACGTAACTTCAGTAGCTTTTTGTACTGCAGTTATTAGGGTAGAGTTAGCAAAGGGGGGCAGCAGCACAACTGGAGTTTCTTACATGTCCTTTCAACCACGTGACTCATCAGCATTTTATTCCAACGTTTCCTCAGCTTCTTTCTGTTTCTGCTTCTAAGCCACGCAGCTTAACGCATAACCAAGTGCTCGCAAAAGAGCACAGGTCTGTCATCAGGTCCATACTAGCTCAGTTATGATGCCTATTAGAGAGCACTCAATAAAACAGTAGCTTATGAAGATTTCTTCAGAAACGCATTCACTGTAGCAGATGTGAGAGTAGGTGAGACGACACCAAGGAGTTTATCCGTGTGGCTTTTGGTCAGCCTGCCTATCAGCGTCCCCAAACTGCAGGTAACATAAAGTCACGGAGAACATAAAAGCTTTTCTTCCTGCTTTACTTACATTGGTGGGTAGGAAGTGGCATCTCTGACACCTTCCCATGGCTGAGGAGGCTGGGGCTCAGAAAACCTCAGTGGTCCAACAGGAGGCTTAGCAAAAGGAAGTCCCAGAAAGACATTTACGCTCCTCTCAGCCGCATCAACTCTGATTTGGTATCCTCGGGCAGTGCCGTATTTGGTCACCACTTCTGGCTGCTCTGCTTTTTGCCCTGGGGGGTGCGTGCACAACATCACATCACCGATTGGTCTCCTAGTGAGCAACTGACAGCTTTCTAAGAGCTTTGCCTACCTGAATGCGCACCTGCTCTTGGTTTCAATAACTCCTTTTCAAACACAAGCCTTCAACAAACGCTAATCGCTAGAGCTGACTTAAGTGCAGCCTCCATTCTGATAGTGCTCCCAGCTATGATCTCCCTCAGCTACACCGTGCCTGCAGCATATAACGTGCTTACTCTCCACACGCATCACTAACCGGGTGAGGATTGTTGTTACTTAAAAGTCCACCGGATTGCCCTCATAAAGAAAAGGCATTTCCTGATTTAGGAAAGGATCTGTGAGTGCACAAAACGCACTTGGGAATCTCAATAGACCCTACAGACAAACAGAAAACACCTTCTACCATACCTGAAAACAGTCAGGCACGCATGCACAAATGGCACAAACATTCAGGTAAGATTTACTTTAATCTCAGAGTGAAATTTATCAGAGTCAAACAACAAACATGGCATATTGGAGTCTCCGACTCAGCAGACAAAATATTGCAATAGGAATTGAGTTTTGCTAGCTGCACGTGAAAAAAATACGAGACAAATGCCTGAAAGCAGACCAGAGAAAGAAACAAAGAGCTCTTTGCTGTTCAGACCTCAGCTCTGTGCTACAGGGTTGGGACTTCAGGCCTCCTTTGAGCTGAGACTCCCACGGGTAAGCAAACTGCACACGCACTCTAACTCCTCGCAGCAGGCAACAGTGAAAAACATTTTGGAAGCTTACCAGCAGCTACGAGTGCTGTGAGCCCGGCGGTGAGGATCAAGGACAGCAGCATGTTCTTCTCAGTTGCCACTCTGCAGCCTACTCACACCCTGATCGACTCTGTGCGCTGCATTTATGCTCTGCCAGTAAAGCTGTTGCGCAATGCAAACAGGGATAAGGAAAGCAGTGCTCAAGCTGTGAACCGAATCGGCCGGGACCAGCCTTGAACAACTGTCATGACAGCATGGCACTGCTCCAAGGGGAGCGTAATGCAGCTTATCTGTACATGGGAATAGGGGAACCTTGGGCTGTGCAGAACGGCCCCACAAGTCTCACACCAGCTGCCCAGGGCTCCTTATAACTGCTCTTCACAGCACTTCACGCAGCAGGGATTTGCTTAAAGAAGCACTGGAAGCAGTCCTCAGAACACCAGCAGATTCTTCCTGCTGCAGAACCGTTACCATTGCCGTCTTTAACAATTAAGTCAGCACTTACTTTCACTACACAGAGAACAAACCCGGAAAACTCTCCTACTCATGCACACTTCTTGACCAAAGCAGTACAGGAAAGATCCTAGCTTTTCCTGCAGGGTCAACGCTCCACCCGCCACTCAGTCCTGTGCATTCAGAAATGTTTGGCTGGTATCTCACCATACACGAGTTTTGCAACAGCTAAGACAGGTTTTCTCCACAACTGCAGTACAGGAGCCGTATGCAACAATTTGAGTGGTAGGAACGCTTTTAATCCCACTGAAACATCAGGAGGCTTTACTTCCATGTGAACTCGCATCCATCAGTAAGAAATGCTGAATAGAAGTAGATTGCCATTCTGTAACTAGGTGGCTGTGTTTGATTTTTGTTTCCTGGCTCTGACTCTTTTCCTGGCTCTTTTTTATTCTTTTTATCTTTTTTTGGCCAGTGTCAATAGATCTTTCCCTTGTAAGCCTGTTTTGTAATCACACGTCATGAAAATAATTCTCAGTTGTCAGAGACAGCATTTCTGTAGATTATTTCAGTGACTCACTTTTTTTCAGCTCTGTGTGCCCCAAATCCAGTATTAGAGTAGTTCTACACAATGTCTTAAGCACACAGTAGTCCCGTGTGCTAAAGCTCTGTTCATGTATTCAGAAAAGATGCTTTACTCCACACCCAACGCATGTGGGCAAACGTGGGAAACTAAACTGGAACGCTCAGGGAGTGACTGGGCACAGTTCCCCCCTTCATTCACTATTCTGCCTTTCAAGCTTTACTCTTCCACCTTTCTCTGCTGCACTCTCTTTTTTCTGCTCATGTACACATTCTGCAAAATGTCTGAACCCCTACCCCATTTTCATCCCATCCATAAAGAAGATGATATCCAACTTGAAGGCCAAAGGTAGCTGCCATGCTGAAATTACTCCTTGTGCAAACACTATCTGTACACTCTGCTGATCTCACTCACGTAATAAAATAAACAGACTGGACCTGGATCTTTACCACCTTGGCTACCAAGCCTACCAGGCCAAAGGATCTAGCAACTGGACTTAGACTTCTGCAAATGTGGAGACCCTTACTCTAATGGCATAAACTAAACTAGTGCAATCTGGAAACAGTGCTACATACCTGGGAAGTGGAATTCTTGGATGCTGCCTGGCATTTCATTTTAATGGAGAGCATTTTGCAGTTTACGTTCAATCAGTGAACAATGCACAAGTCAGAAAACAAGTCAGAAAAATCCTGCCACGTGATGACATTTGCCTCCCACACCCTAATGCACTGCTACCTGTCTTGATTTCAATCGCTGAAAAATAGAGACAAATCTCATGTTTATGGGCACGTGGCTAAAAGAGAGCCCACAAAGACATCTGCATTCAACGCTATAGGGTAGAAATGTTCAGAAATATGCATTTCCCCCTCATAAAATACTTTAACAAAGGACAAGGGCCAGGGCCACCTAACCAAAACAGTGGCTGTGCTAACACACTACCCTGATCTCTTAAGTCTTGACTGCCAACAGGATTTGGGAAGAAAGAGATTGGGAACTCTGCCATGCTTTCTGCAGTCAAGTAATTCAGAAAGAAGAGATGGCCGGAGAGTAACAGTAGGATATGAGAAGCTGGGAACAATCTTACGTTCCTGCAGAGCTACAGAAGGGAGATTAAAGACAGGCAAGGGAAGGAAAGAAAGGAGTGGCGCCCATAACTTCCACATAGCTGCACCATGCTGCTGGAAGGTAGCAGTATGGTCAGCAAGACGGCTGGGACAGCTGGAGCAGCCTCAGAGTAACACATGAGAAGCAATGCTGAAATGCTGCGATCCAGGCTTGTTCTTGGCAGTCCAAGCTGAAATGGGCGCTGGAGTAATTCCGGTAAATGAAGTCTCTCTCCAGTGCCAGTAATGAAGGCCTGTGACCCAGTGCTGAGAGACACTGGAACTGAGAGACGGCACAGAGCGCAGCCTAGAGCGCCGTGTAAATAAAGCACCATGGAAAACACAGAAAGCACAAAGCTAATGCTACCACGCCTGATCCTTCTGAGGCAGTTGTTGCTCATTAAAAAGAAAGAAGCTCAGGGCAGCGGAGACTGTTTCTCTCCTTTCCTAAGATCTGCGAGCAATCTGAATTCCAGCACTGCACCACTGCTCCAGACGAGGGACTGCAACCGTCAGAAATGTACTGCTATCTCAGTTGTAAAACTCAGTCACACAACAGAACTGTCCTTAAAAAGTTCAGAGGACATTTCTGTGTGTGAATCAGAACAAAACCTCAGGGGCATCACACGTATCTCTGACACGAGAAAGACAGTTTTACTTGCAAAGCACCTCTTTATTGATTGAACTCGATTAACACAACATTGCTGCCAGATTCTTCTTCAGCAATGGCAAAGCTGCAGAAAAGCCTGAGGAGCAGACAGATCTGTTAACTGTATTAACAGGGGAGGCCTCTGTTGTGGAACCAGAGGGAACCGAGGGAAAAGCAAAGGGTCACAAAGTGGAAATCGATCCACTGCCATAACAAAAATTAAGTGAATAAGCGTAAATATGAGAACTGCAAAGAAAAGGTGAAAGGAAGGGACACGTTATTTTGTCCTCAAAAATATTTCAAATAATTCCTCTTGCAATCCTAAATACTATGCCTATTATGCATGTTTAGACAGTAAATTATAGCTCTAGATGAGCTTTCTTGTTTCCCATTCTTTTCCTAGTTGGCTTTTCAAACATCACCTTTTCCCAGAAGTCTACCTTCTTCTCCTTCAGCTTTCTGGCTTTCCTTTGTCTTAGATTTATCTCCAAGCATTCTTCATTTAGATTACGCAATGGCCATTCAGCCAGGCCTTCCCCATTAGGATTCCTGTAAACAAGAAGAAAGAAAGAGAAAAAGCCTGAAATTTGCAATTTAGCAATCCAGAAATCATCAAGAGAAGATTTCAGGACCGCTGACGAACAAGATCAGCATAATTATTCTACAGGCAGTGGAACTGAGGTCCGAGGAAGTGAAAGGATTTGCCTGCATCCTTCCAGGAAACCAGAAGCACAACCAATAAATCAATAAACAAACCCTTGTCTCCTGAGTGCCACTACAACTGAGGAAATGGGCCACGTCGTTTAGTTCCATAGATCTCATCCCAGCTTTGTGGGACTGAAATTCTCTGCTCTGAGCATGACAAGGCAAAGCTTTCTTCTTTCTGATACAAGAGGATGGAATTCCATGCTTCAAAGTTTCGAGAATACTCCCTTAGAATCAGTTACATGTATGACCAGATGTAAATACACCTCACCATATCACAAGGAATATCTGCTATTACAATGCTTTCCCTGTAAATTTGAGAAAAAAGCAAGAGAAGTGTACAGCCTTCCCTAGTTGACCTCTAAGAGCAGGATATTATAAGTAATATTATAATAAGGATATTAAAAAGTAGATGCAAAATGTAAGCTAAATCAAAAGACTCTGGTAACAGATTAATTCATGCTTTTTACAACACAGCTAGACTGCTCAAAGTTCACGGCAGTAAAAGGAAATAATTCAGCTTGCACAGACTTTGAAACAGACTATGAACTACTGTGAAAATGACAGCAATAAAAGAAGAGAAAGTGTAGAGAAAACTTGAGATATCTCAAGGATGGAATTCATGCTTCAACCTTGCAAGAATGTTCCCTTCGATGCAGTTACACGTACGTTACACCTGCATGATGCATTAGTTGCACAGCAGCACAGTCAAACATCCCACTTGTTTGATGCCTTTGTTCCCCTCTATTTTTGATGTTTTAATGAAAAACACATAGCAGTGTAAGGTTTTTTTTACTTATATGCATTACGTTCATTATATACTTTATATGCAGCCCATGGCAATTCCAACTGGCTCAGTGTGGCTCAGGCTAGCCAAAAGATGGGACAACCATGCTTTAACCCAGTTTTTAAATCTTCATGCTGAAAATGAAACAGTGGAGTTCCAGCCTTACCCTAATGAACACAAGCTGGAACGCTCAGCAAAACAGACTGCAACCCGTTCTCTGCAGCCTGAAAGCCAGTCAGATTTCTCAGAAAAGAGGACGCATTGCTTGAAATACCTCAAGCAAAGGGGAGGGGGAAGATTTCCTGCTTCTTTAGTACCCCACTCATCTCCCCACTCACTAGAGCTTTAATCAATCAATTCAATCAATCATATAGAACTTCCTGTGCTTCAGAAACAGCAAACCGCATGTGATAAAGAAGGGAGAATACAGTAAAGTAATACCGAACAAATCCAAGCAAGAGTAAGGGTTATATTTTCATCTCACCCCTAATGTGTGCACTGCAATATGATGAAAATGGAAGGAGCAACACTGAATAATGCCAGTGCTGTGAGAGTATTTTATAAATGAATCCTGAGATATAATTTCTTACCCTGTAGGCCTACGATAGCACATACACTAACAAGAAAAGCCAAACAAGTTAAATTTAGAGGCAGCCACTGCTCCAGCTTGCAGCTGAACATTCTGCCTGTAGCTCCAGTATTTGTAACAGTTTACAGAACAGGAAAACACTTGTGATCCCACGGCTGGTTTGTGACGGATGCTCTTACCCTCACAGGAGGGCTGGAAGAATGACAACCAAGGACACTCTCAGTAAGGAAGAGCAGAAGGAACTGACAACATTCTGTGACACCTATGACATATTCAGTAAACATAACTTCTTATACATTTCAATATATTTGACAATATTCCCTTGGATACCACAGAATCACAGAATGGCCTGGGTTGAAAGGGACCACAATGATCATCTAGTTTCAACCCCCCTGCTATGTGCAGGGTCACCTGGACCAGGCCTCCCAGAGCCCAATCCAGCCTGGCCTTGAATGCCTCCAGGGATGGGGCATCCACAACCTCCTTGGGCAACCTGTTCCTGTGTGCCACCACCCTCTCTGGCCTGTTTGAACCTGAGAGACTTTTTTTCCCCCGCTTGCTTCATCACTGATTTTTATTTCCATGAGCATCTTGCACTTCCCCTGATGCTCCCTTTTCACTGAGGGAGAGAATCAAGGGAAGTTTTCCTGCGATCATGACAACAAACTACACATCAGTGAGTTAGAAAGTCAAGGTTAAAATCTGCATTCTGACAAATTGCTGTTGACCTTACTTCAGACTGTGAAAGGAAACTGTATCCTCTGCAGCTCTCACAAATCTGTGTGCTCTCGCCTTCTTTCACTCCTCATCTGTTCTGTGAGCTGTACCCAAAACTCCATTTTGTCTTCTTTCAGTTTCTTTGCTGCCTTTTGTATGAGGTCTATCTCCAGGTATCTTTCATCCAGATCATACTGAGGCCAATGCACCAAGCCTTCCCCATTGGGATTTCTGGAAGCACAAAAATGAAAAGTTACCTCTCCATTTGTGCTCTGACTTCTCAACCTGAGGTCGTTTCAGAAGACTAACAGGAGCTCAGATTGCACGATTCCAGTACCTGAACAGATGGATGTTTTTATCAAAACGCTCATCACTGGAACAGCAAACACGTAATGATGTTTGCCCTTACTCGGGGATCTAATCCTCCACTGCAGATACAAATAGCTCTTGGATTTTGTTTGGGATTGCATGCTCATTTCCAGAGTTCTTCTTGCAATCGTCAACAAGAGAAACTCTTTGTTTCAGTACTCATCTTAAACTCTGCCACATTTACAGGAACTACCATGCTGCTGCTACGCTTCAGGCAGCACAGACAAAACTTGAGCTGCAGTTAGCGCTACGGATCTCACCCGTTTCTAGCAAAGTTAGTCCAGTACTTCATAACAGTTCTGCTAAGTTTACTTTCTCCTTCTGTAGCATTCCCTGCAAAGGGAGAGAAGAAATGGCAATATTCAAAAATCAATAATCAAAAAACAGCAGTCCAGTCAATCCCAATACACTGGAACCAATTCAAAGGGGCTGTGGACAACATCATCTCTATGGGACCCTTCCAATCCAAAGCATTCTATGAACCTACTTGTTACTCTGGGCTGTGGGAGTTCTATGTGAGCAGAGCAGATGAATTAATTAATGACAAGTAATTATTACCAAAAACAGAAAAAAAACCAGCTTATTTTGATTCCAGTGTTACTAAGTAAAATTCTATTCTGAAAGTCCTCAGGTGAGTGAGATTAATAACAATGTTGATTTTAAAAGAATTGTTTAGCAAGCACAGATACATCACCTGCTAAGAATGGCCTTCCAAAGACAAAGGCAATCTCATCTGCATGATCTGCTTTTACAAACTCTGGAACAACGCCTGAGGCTGAGCTTGGTCGATGTTGAAATTCATAGAAGTAGACTGGGTGGCCAGCATCTAACAGAAAATAAAATTGAACGCAAGAATGCTAGTATTGCAAATGCCAGTCAACAATGATGATAAACTTTCACCAAAGCTAAATTGACAAAATCAAAACACTAGCAGATCTTTTGATAGCAAAGTGTGATGCATACATAAAGTCCACAGACACACTCAAGAATAGAAGACAACATTTGTTTGAATAGATGCTGAACTGGAAACTCACCTCTGTGGTACCTAGCCACTTCAATGGCTGGGAAAGTAAACATGTGATCTCCTATTGCATCAAGAAGGCCATCTCGCACCTGAGCACGGCTCTCTGCTTTCCCAATGTATTCATTGAATACAAGATCAACAGTGTGAGAAGAAACACCCTGGAATGAACAAGAAAGGTACTTTTCATAATGAGAACCACCCTAAAAGGAGTAACAGTGTAGACTGAGAGTGCCACCTGCGTGTCCCTGGCTAGACTCCAAACATCACCATCTTTCAGAAAAAATCCCCTGCTGCGTCCAAGCAGAGCTCACAGTTCACAGTGGTGCACCTTTACCTAACATGGATGTTCTTTGGGAGAAGAGATTTGCAAGATCAAAAAGGATGCTCTCAAATGCCTCTAGATAAATAGCTAGTGGTACTCTGTTCTTCCTTCTGTGGAAACAACCCTCGTAAGAGAAATGAAATCCTGCTGGATTGCATAAGATCCATTTCTTGCTGCAGACGGCCATTACTTACTCCCTTTCAGAAAAACCCTGGGCTCTGCCATTCCCAGATTATGATAGATTCCTATGGCTCTACATGACCCTTTACAAGTACTGGCTATGTTTATCAACTTCTTAATTCTAACCTATTAATCTGCAATTTTTCAAGTTTCCTAGTTTCAGCAGAGCACAAAGCAACCAGAAAGCTGAGAGCTTTGTAAATCAAATGGAAGCAAAACCTCCCCTGTGTACATGCAGGTCTCCTGGTGCCATTTTAGGCATCCCCAGGTGTCCTTTCTATTCTCCATGTGAAGCTTCAGAAAGGCTCGTATGTTCTGTAGCAGTTGTGTCATATCTGCTGGTAGAACGCGTATCTTGGATAACCTAGTGTATCTTGAATGTCCTGGGACGTATGTTTAGTTGCCTGCATTGCTTCTGGATTTCCACTGCATTCCTTTTTAAAAGGTGGCGCATGTGGGATAGGTATGGAGTATCTTCCATGTTGATTAGTCACTATTAGCAATATGAAATGTGAATATGGAATTATCCCCATGATGAAATAGCATTCTGATTATAGACATAGAATTTTAATATCAGAAACTGCCGTTTTTGAAAAAATGCAATCTGAGTGTTACTCTGTAGCCTCTGACCATAGTTCTGCAGCACAACATTCCACTACATTCTAGACATGGTCTCTCACCTCAAATGATAATACAAACGAGCTCTGTAATACTTGACGGGCAACTTCTTTGTCCAGTCCGTCTGTAAAATCATGAAATTTCATCATCTGCATAAAGAAGAGAATACACATTTATGAGGAAATCTTACATACAAAACCATATCTGAACAATGCCATTGAAAGTCTCTTACTTTAGGAATTACCCATCCAAATTCACAGTTATTCACTCCTATTATGTATGGGACTGGATTGATTGCTTTTTCAGACAGTAATTGCCTGGGACTCTTTGGAAAAAACACACCATCCACACAGGCACTGATGAACATGGGAGCCTGAAACAAAAAACAAAGAAACAAAGTCAAGGCTTCAGCAAATGACAGCATCAAGTGAAAATATAAGAATATTAGTATTTAAGCTCTCTTTGTTTTCCACAACCAATGCTTTGAACCAGAGAAGATTTGCAAAGATTTGCATTGTGTTTAAATACTTGTGAAATGTAGGCTATTGTTAATTTACATCTCCTCTTAGTTAGAAATGTCCTGGTACGAATGAACGGAGAGGTTAGAGAAAATCTAACTTCTACATTCATACAATCAACATTGCAAAGTAACAGGAAAACCAGGATTGCGGTAAGAAATTTAGAGGACAAAATTATGATGTTAAGTAATGTTCAGGCTCTCCAGGAGAAACTGTGACATGTCATACTCTTCTCTCTTCCCTTGGCAGAACCTGACAGTGAGACACGTGTAGCTCAATGCTCATACAGAGTTAAAGAGAAGGAACCTGTTCACAATTCTCAGGTGAGGTGTGGCACACTCGCAATGTTGTCAGATCCTGAAAACATAAAGAAGGGGCAGGTGTTAGATATTCTTCAAGTTCTCTTAATATTACAGGACATGTACAGCATGCTCTGTTATGATCAAATTTGAAAGGCCCCTCATATACAAGGCATAATTTCACCTACCATTTTTAGAGTTATCTGTTCTATTTCTTCCTCTGTTTTTCCTCTTAAGCATTCAACCAGAGCGGCAGAACTGGATTTCTCACAGCCAGATGCAGCAGCAATTCTCTGCAATCAATAATAATGAGTCACAGTCTCCTGTGGAAAAAGGGGCAGGCTTCTTGGGGTGATTACAAAGAAGTAGCTAAGGTATGCAGGGAGGAAGTTAGGAAGGCGAAAGCCCAGCTTGAACTCAGGTTGGCCGCTGCAGTAAAAGGCAATAAAAAATCCTGTTATAAATATATCAATGGCAAAAGAAGAACCAATGATAATTCTCATCCTATACTTGATGCAGCAGTGAATGTGTCCACTGAGGACAAGGAGAAGGGCTGAGGTCTGGCTTTACATCTGCCTTTAATAGCCAGATCAGTTATCTGGGCTTTTTATGTCTTGATCTGGAAATCTGGGACACTGCTCAGAGTATGCCCCCACCTATTCACGTGGAGACAGTCAGAGAGCTTCTCCTCCATCTGCACTGTCACAAGTCCATGGGACCGGATGGGCTGCACCCTCGGGTGCTGAGGGAGCTGGCAGGAGTGACTGCTGAGACGTTCTCGGTCATCTATCAGCACTCCTGGTTAACTGGTGCGGTCCCAGAAGATTGGAGGCTTGCCGATGTGACTCCCATCTTCAAGAAGGGCCGTAAGGAGGATCTGTGGAACTATAGGCCTGTTAGCCTGACCTCAGTACCAGGGAAAGTTATGGAGCAGATCATCTTGGATGAGATTGCACGGCATGTGTGCAGTGTCCAGGGGATCAGGCCCAGCCAGCACAGGTTAGTGAAAGGCGGGTCATGCTTGATCAACCTCATCTCCTTCTATGACTGGGTGACCAGTCTGGTAGATGAGGGAAGGGCTGTAGATGTAGTCTACCTAGACTTCAGCAAAGCCTTTGACACAATCTCTCACAGGCTTCTTCTGGGGAAACTGGCTGCCCATGGTCTGAACAGGTATATACTTGTTTGGGTAAGGAACTGGCTAGAGGACCATGCCCAGCAGGTAGTAGTGAATGGAGTTAAGTCCAGCTGGTGCCCCGTTTCAAGTGGTGTACCCCAGGGCTCAGTACTGGGGCCCATCTTGTTTAATATTTTTATTGATGACCTGGATGAGAGGATTGAGTGCACCCTCAGTAAGTTTGCAGATGACAACAAGCTGGGAGGTGGAGTTGATCTGCCTGAGGGTAGGGTGGCCCTTCAGAGGGATTTAGACAGTCTGGATCACTGCGCTGAGATGAATAGGATGAGGTTCAACAAGGCCAAGTGTCGGGTCCTGCACTTTGGGCACAACAACCCCACGCAGCGTTACAGGCTTGGGGATGAGTGGCTGGATGACTGTGAAGAGAAGGACCTGGGGGTGCTGGTTGATGCTCGGCTGAACATGAGCCAGCAGTGTGCCCAGGTGGCCAAGAGGGCCAACAGCATCCTGGCCTGCATTAGAAATGGTGTGGCCAGCAGGAGCAGGGAGGTGATCATCCCCCTGTACTCAGCACTGGTGAGGCTGCAACTTGAGTACTGCGTTCAGTTTTGGGCCCCTCACTACAGGAAAGACATTGAAGTCCTGGAGCACGTCCAGAGAAGGGCAACGAAACTGGGAGGAGTCTGGAGCAAAGGTCTTATGAGGAGCGGCTGAGGAACTGGGATTGTTCAGTCTGGAGAAGAGGAGGCTCAGGGGAGACCTCATTGCACTGTACAACTTCCAGAAGGTAGGTTGTGGTGAAGAGGGATTTGGCCTCTTCTCCCAGGCAACGAGCAGCACACGGGGTAATGGCTGCAAGTAGTATCACAGGAGGTATAGATTAGACATAAGGAAGAACTTTTTCATTGCAACGCTGCCTCTTTTACATCCCAGATTAGCAAAACAAAGCTCTTGGAGATTGTTTCTTACACATGACAAACTGGGTTGAATTGGGCTTCTTTTTAATTATAACTAGGCTGAATAAAGTTTTATTCCTGTGAGTACATCTGGCACCAGGCGGGGGGGAAAGAGAATAGTATTTGGATCTGGTACCATTTTCCTGTCAAAAACAGCAGCTCAACTTTTTCTGGAGACAGTATACTCCTGTACATTTCATACTCATTCACTGCCTTCTCTGTCTACTTCCTCCGTTTTCTGCTTTCACTCAGACATCTGTGAATATTTGAGTACTTGGAAAGCAAAATTTCACCGAGCGTGTGTTACTGCAAACAGGAATCCTGTCTCTAATGAAGGTGGTTGAATTTCCACAGGAAAAAAAGACCAAGATCCACTATTTGGAATAAACAATTTAAGGTGTTCAAGACTATCTCAAAAATTAAATATGCCACAAAATACCCACCTGTGCTTCCTTCTCAGGCTTTTCAGTGAATAAAGTCCTAATTGTAGTACCACTCTCTGAAATGGCCTTGTGGAACAAGCCCTTTGCCAGTGGAGATAAGACCTGGAAAAAAGAAGCAGCATCCAGAAACAAGAACAGGCATTACTGGAAATGCATTCTATTCATGACACAGGACTTCAATATCAGAAACTGCCTTTTCTGAAAAAAATGTCATCCGAGTGTTACTCTGTGGCCTCTGATCAGAGTTCTGCTGTGCAAAGGTCTCTGGCAGCATTAACAGGGATAAGTCCACGCCTGCCCTTCCCCTCCCATAAAGCTTTGCTTACAAGACTTCAGGGAACAACACTGCGAGCCAGGTATGAATCAGGTACACATATGTCCAGCAGACTGGCTGTGCTGCAGAAGGGGAAAATACAGCTCTAAGAGAGAAGTCGGGAGCAAACGGACATTCAAATTTGAAGAGGACAAACGACATCTGGGATTCTAAGCGACATCATCTGGGTACAAAAAGAACACTTTCAACAGCCAGAAGCTGCACTGTTATCAGCTGTGTATCAGACTGAGGTGATGTGTGCTTTACCCAAAAGCCACCCACATTTTCCCACTGATTTTTCATTAATGTACTGAGAGTGATCGTGGACAGTGGGTTTCTTTCTCAAATAATAAACATTCATGCCTGTGGTGAACTTACCAGAGCAGATACACTGATTCCCCCTGCAGATTCACCACAGATGGTGACAGATCCCGGGTCTCCTCCAAAGTGTATGATATTTTCCTGAATCCACTGAAGAGCTGCCACTTGGTCCAAATACCCCCAGTTACCACGAGCATGCCTATCCCCAGTGCTAGAAAGAAAGAACAGACTTCTTTAAACGCCTCATGTAGAAAAAAACAACACTCAGATAAATACAGCGTGCAGGACAAGGAATCAGCTGTGAAGGAGCCTCTCTGCGTAATTTAAAAAGAATTGGCTTGAAAAGGGTTGACATCAGGCCAGCAATCAAGCCACAGCAGTCTCTGAAGCAGACCTGGGACTTGTAAGTTGCTCCCAACTGTTGCATGTGTAATTAAGAAACAGAGAGTTCATTTGCCAAAGCAAGTACTCTACAGGCCTTTCCACAGTGGATTTGCACACATCATTTTGGAAAAGGTTTATCAAAATCGAAGACAGCCTATCTTACCTAAAGTATCCAGCTATACCCAATCTGTACTGAATTGCCACAACAACCACGTTGTCAAAGGCTGCTAATGCTGAGCCATCATAGGATGATGCTGCTCCAAAAACTAATCCACCTCCATGGATCCATACAAAGACCTGGAAGGGGAACAAACAGAAACAGTTCAGCACAGGGAAGAGCTCCCTGTGACACAGACTGAATACCCTTGTTTGTGCTGCTTCACTCATGAGTCCTTCAGGTTGCATTTCACAAATGGCCAATGTCTTTCAAATTGGAGGCTGGCAGCCTCACAACACACACTGATTTCATTAAATACCTGAATTTTACCAGTGCCCTGCAGGAAATCAAACACTGCCGAAGTATAAAACCAGTAAGATTTTATTTGTCAATCCTTAAAAACTGTGCCAGTAAGTCCACATATTGTACAGGTTGCAAGTTTGCAGTACAGTACTGTCATCCTCAGGAAGCTGTTAGAAGATTCAAGGTCAGGCTCAATCTGTCACATCAAATCACAGAAGCCATCGAGCCTGCTAGAGGTTTTGCACTGATTTTCCTTACCGGCAGCTTCTCCTGTGTTTTTGTAGAAACAGGTGTGTATATATTCAGGTATAAGCAATCTTCAGACATCTGGAGATTAACTTTTTCTTTTCTATTAGTAATAACATCTGAAAAAAACTGTCCTGTTTCTTTGTTCTGTATACACCTGAAAAAATAAGAGAAATAAAAATCAATAGAGATAAAAAAAAATTCACAGCTGTAAGTCAAAAACTTCCGTATTTCTAACACAGAAAAAAAGAGTTCAGTACATTTCTATAGTGCTGGCATCGGAAACATACAGTGTTGTTTAACATTTTCTCCAGTTGAGTTGGCATGAGATGTGCCAAAAGGGGCCAGAGTCTAGAGCAGTACGTTTTGCAAACAGACGTAATTCTGCGTATTGCAAAACCTTACAGAATACTAGCAGACTGATACAGCTATAAATCCTTCAATTATATTGCAAATTAATTACCATATAGCTTCAGTAGATTTTATACTGCAATTATGGGGATTAGGCTAGAAGCACTTAAAAGAGCAGTAATACAAGTGGAGTAAAATAATTATATAATAGATCACAACAGATGTGTGTTTCATACATGATCAATCAAGCATGTGACTCACTGGGAACTCTGTCTTTCTCTAATTTTTTTTTTTTACTTTTGATCAGCCTGCGTATCAGCATCCACAAACTGCAGGTAATATGAAATCAGTGAGAACATAAAAAAATCATGGGGAACATAAAAGCTTTTCTTCCTGCTTTACTTACATTGGTGGGTAGGAAGTGGCATCTCTGACACCTTCCCATGGCTGAGGAGGCTGGGGCTCAGAAAACCTCAGTGGTCCAACAGGAGGCTTAGCAAAAGGAAGTCCCAGAAAGACATTTACGCTCCTCTCAGCCGCATCAACTCTGATTTGGTATCCTCGGGCAGTGCCGTATTTGGTCACCACTTCTGGCTGCTCTGCTTTTTGCCCTGGGGGGTGCGTGCACAACATCACATCACCGATTGGTCTCCTAGTGAGCAACTGACAGCTTTCTAAGAG